GTGAGTTGGCTGACTGAAATGAGATTAAAGACACTTTTTTCTACACTACATTATGCTAAGCTAGGCTAAACACATCCAACTCTGTACTTAACACACAGACATGAGGTTGATATCCATCTGAACATCTCATTCTTAGAAAGAGCATATTTCTAAAGAAGGTTCAACTATTATTTTATGGCAGCCTCACAAGTCTTACGTTTTGTAAAAAAATTAAAAAATAAATAAAAAATAGCAGGTATTTGGAAGCACTCATCATCTGTGGCCTTTTATGGTGTGGCCTAAAGAATCAGCTGTGCCACCACTGCTCTGAAGTCCAAGCTCTGTCTCCTAAAATCCAACCAATATCCTGCCCTAAATCTGCGCTATGGGCAAGCTGAAGCCAGCTGGTTGGCAGTGCCATTACATTCCACCTGGGAATATGGGTTAACTGCTCACATAAGACATCAAGTACCTCAGGAAAAAAAATCTGTACATATTTTTGCCCAGAATGAAGTGCAAAATTTGTACCGATTGAGCATTATTCCTCTAAATCCATGAACTTTCAATCTTAGATTTTGATACATGATGCTTTCTTATGCTGTCACGCTGTATGGAAGAAGATACTAGAGATTGAGACCATAAACTCATTAGGAAACTGTTTACTGAACTAATGAATCAAGTCAGAAGTTGGCATATTTTTTCATACTATCTTGCTTTTTGCAGCCAATGGAGCTGCACCCTGCTGGCCATTAGAAAGAATACATGTTTAAGACACTTCTGCATTGGCTTCACTGGCAGGAAGTCTGAAACAGAAATGGCATTAAGAATACGTTCAAATTTTCAGAATTAAACACCCTGTGTAGACTCCCGATCTTAAAAACAGACAAAAAGGAAACAATCTAACTACGTACCCTACTTAGCCATTGTAGACACATATAACAAAATCTGAGCAAGTTAACAAAATATTATTATTTTTCATTGATAGGCTGTTTGTCTTTGGCTCCAAGTCATCAAACTGTAAAAAAATGAAGATGTTCAATACTGCGCCTTGTCTCAAATAAATAAACTACTTTCTCCTTTTCCCTCAAAGAAAACTAAGACTATTTTTTCATTTTTTCATTACTTACTTACTGTCACAGAATAAGGCTTATTAAGCACACAAGAGCTATTTGTTTCATCAGGCTGCTCTACACAGAGGCCTGAGATGACCTTCAGAACTCTTGGAAAGAGTAGATAACTGCAGTCATGTAAAAAAAAGATGAGTCAGTTCATGAAATGAATCACTGAAGCGGATCGTCAAAATAAAAGGTTGAGGTTGTGTTAAATGTTATATTGTTAGAAATCCTTCAAACCCTTTCTGTGAGCAACGTGCTGTAAGAATGGTATGCTGCAGTTGCTTCAAATCACAAGAACATCACAAACAATTGTAAAGTTTTTGCTATTTATTATAGCCATATGTTGTCATGGTGAAATAAATAATGAATGCATTTAAATCATTTACATCAAACATGTCATACACAAAATGTGAAATAATTAACACCATAGTGGAAAAATAAAAATAAGTATAACTGAAGTAGATAGAACTTTTTGTTAAATAAGACTCATTCACACAAACTTCTTCAGTAGCCTACATTCTGCCCTGCAAATGTCTTTAAACACACAGTAAGTCTATGTACAATCATTCAGTTAAAAGTGCAATAAAAAGTAAAAAATGCATGTGAACAGATGCAGTGTATTATATTCCAAACTACACAAACTTTGCAGGTGTGTCACATATAGATATGACCATTTTAGTGTGATATCAGACTACAGTGGCTAACAAGTTAGTATCTCAGTGATGTCATGACTAGCTCTCTGTCAAAATTAGCAAAGACATAAAGCATATAAATAGACATGTTATCAACTAATCTGATCCATAAAGCTCGTTTCCACAGCTGGAACGTAACATAATGACATGTAAAAACCCATTATATACTACCTGCCCAGAACAGAGCTAAAACAGAGATTTTAAAAGAATATCGGAGCTATATTTGTCAAGTGGACCCAAACACCACTTCAAATGAATACTAATGTTGCTACATAACTGCTAAATATGTATATAAGTCACTCTTTGCTAACATATTCATCACAACAACCTTACAAGGTGATAAAATGAACAATAAAATAAATAATTATTACTGCTTTAGTTAAATACAATGGAAACACAACCTAGTACCAAAACCTCACTAGGGTCTTAAAAGTTCACATTATCAGAAGCCTCTGGTTAATGGGTTGCTGCAGTGGAACAGGGGTAGGTACCAGATGTGCTCAGCCTGCTGGATCTGCTTGGGGGCCGGCATTTGCAGGTGATGTAACACATTATCACATGATAATACTAAGTAAGGATTTTTTACATTAAAAAAATATAAATAAATAATGCATCATAACACGAATAAGTGAGGCATCTTGTTTCCTTTTGATCTTTGATTGTGTGCTCGAACCCACTGTGCCAGGCTGCCAGGCCGAGAAGATCTGCTACCCACAATGGCAGTACCACATTCAGTTCCAGAAGTAGGAAAACCTCACACACATGGTTGCATTTGTAATAAGGCAAATTGCTAAAAATCACACGTCATGTGGTACACTCCATTTGTCTACACTGTAAAAAATGTTACGGTAAAAACTTGGCACGATATGTTTTTTGTGCACTTTACAGTCTGTAATATAAACTACTTAATTCCATATAAATTCCTTTAAAATACCATATAAATAAAGGTTTTACCATGAGATATGAGTGTTTTACTGTTGCAGAAACTGTATTTCTTACCGAAAGTTAGAGTTGGAGTTTAGTCTTTTACTGTGGTGGTTTGACAGTTTTTCCACCGTAAAATCTACAGATATGTTTTACAGTGTAGACAACAATGGTAAACAATGTAATGTTATTGTTTGTTTAACATTTACCAGCCTTTACAAACACCATTTCCCACAAGCCCAACACCATCATGGTCAGAATGGACTTGTCAACCTTTCTTGTCTAGACATGGCTGTCACAGTAGTGCGCACATTTAAAGCTAAAAACACTCAGAGTTTGTATGGACGAATGGATAAGGGAGAACAACACGCAATATAATTATATTAATTATACATGTAATGACACTTTGTTCCAGAAATACAGATGGAAGAAAGGCTAAGTCAGAGATTCCATTGAGTTCCAAAGGCTAGTGTGACAGTGGCTAGCCCAGACTCCAGGAGCTGACAACCTCCAACATGGCAGCCAATTGGGGGCCCATGGCAAATCTTTGCTTGTCTCCAAATCTGTTTGTGATGTCTGACTACTGTGATCCCTACTTAGCAGAGAATTTCTTCGCAGCATTAGAGTTTCAAACTCGCTGGGTCCAATCCAGTAACTATAAATATTCAGCTTTTCATGAGGTCAAAGGTCATGATTCAAAGCTCATCACTCTTTGAAGGGGACTCCTAGAGGCTGATAGGGGTCTGCTAGTTGTGTTCTGTTTGTTCGTCTTCCTGCGTGATGATAAAACTTTGCTTTTCTGTCGACGTGAAGATTGTGTTTTCTTTCTATAAGCCTCCCTCTTTGGACTGTCGGGAGGCCCCAGGTGCTCCAGAAGCCTCTTATGAAGTACTGCTTGGAACTGCTGTGCCTGCAAGACAAAGATAACAATAAGGAGTTGATTCAGGGACATGTAGCTTGGCTGAAGCAGGTAACCTTGGCCCTGTGCGGGGGCTGCACTGATCAGATGGGATTTATCATGGATATCAACTTTATTGTGGTGTACTTTTGGTTTTGCTTCAGGTATTGAAGTAACTATTCTCACATTCTGAATAGTTTCCACCTCATATATTTGTAGCCTATGTCGTATTGTGTACAGGCCAATTCTTCTGATGAGAGAATTAATTCATATCTACTCTTAGTATAGTAGTAATTATTTTAGTGGAATATAGAGTTTGCTTTAGTCGTCATCAAGCTCTGGTCATGTGATAACAGGTGGTTGTAATTTATCCCAGTGGTAGTCCTTGGGAGGGTGTGTGTGTGTGTGTAGAAACAAGTAATTTAACCAATATAACTCCAGACTTGGTTCAAGCATGGTTTTTGGCACTGTATGTGAATGGCCTCCTTGTAGAGGTCTGTAGTCCATATGGGTCCTAGTAACTGCAGGGTTCAACATCAATAGATTTTCTTCCATCAGAAGTCCATTAGGCTGAAGTCAGTCTTTACTTGTCCCTATACAAAGTGTTTTATTTTTACAAGGTTTTTGAAAAAACAACAAAGACCATCAAGTGAGATGCTGTCAGCTTGGTGTGGCACTCCGTTTTTCGGACACTTGCCTTTGACCAAAACCCCCTTATTTACCTTGCTCTTAAACTTAAGGCCAACTGCGCAATACATAGTGTTTCACCTACATCTTCTGACGCCACCCAACTAAACAAAACTTTGTTTTTACCTGTCGCCATTTTCTCATGAGTGCCCAATCCACTTGCCAGAGTTGTTGGATAAACAAGCCCAATGTGGCGTTTTACATGCCCCGGGTAAGCGGGTAATCCTTATTGTTAAGCCTTTAACTGAGACTCAACATTGAGATGGGCTAGGCCCAAATTATACTGGGTTGGGTTGGGTAGGGTCCTGTTCTGACTGTCCTTGGGCACCTTTTATTTTTAAATGAAATGTATGCATGTTGGGTTTGAATAAGATTTACATTTGTCTGTTTCAAATCAGGTCCAAACTTTGGCACCATTAGGACCTCTACCTCCTTGACAACCCCCCCTCCCCACCCATATAGAGATGATGTATTCTTAGGTCACGTGGTAACAATTGAGCCAAGTTCAGTCACTGTTGAGGACCATGAGATGCATTTGATGGCCCGAGCTTACCGTGGCTAGCTGTGTGGTGATATGAGATGCTGTGGTAGTGGCTGGGGAAGCTGTGGTGTGCTGCTGGCTTTTTGGTTTAGCGCAATACATCTCCAGATGCTGAAGCTCACAGCCTGATGGCCGACAGCACTGGTCCACTATCCCCTTCCCTCTGGGCCGAGCACCGTAACCGGACCATGTACCTTTACCTGCAGAGAGAGTAATGTCAAACATGAGATTCTTGTCTTTCTTTTGAGCCTCGATACCTTCCTTACTTTATCTGAACATCCTCAGGAGGTCATTGAAGTCAAAACTTGCATGACTAGCAACAGATAAATAAAAACCTCTTTATCTTTTGCATACACTGGAAGAGTGAAGTTTATCGTGAAGGAGGTGCTAGAGGAGAGACATTTGGGTCAGAAACATCAAAAGGGTACATTCAGTGCACTCCTCTGGGGAGTATGAATGTGCACATGCGCGCATTTACAACAAGATACTACATTGTCATGGTCTAGGGGAAGATGTATTCCTGACGGTGGCAGGAAAGGACAGTTCAAACTCTTTTGGGAATATAAAAAGACAATCATGTCAAACTGGCTAGTAGTTGACAAGATATCTTCCTCTGGCTGCAAGTGTCAGGCAGACAAACATTGCCATTGTTAGATGCCATATGTGAAATCCTGTTTGAATATGTTCATGCTTTAGGGTGGTGGCTTGAAGATAGTTGTTTGTTGAGTCTCATTCCCAGCAGTTGATAGTTGACGACCTGAGAATGACACTCAAGAATCAACTATCTTTCTAAGCTCTGATTGGTTGTTCGGGCATGGTGCATTCTTGCAAACGCTATTAGGAGCACTAGGAGAGGAGCCTATCTAATGCACTAGTGTTTAGATACTAGATATAGTGAAAGTTTCAGCAAATATCACAAAATAATTTTTATAAAAGTTACCTACTGCAGCTTTAAGTTTGTATTTTGCTCAGTAAAATTGAAGTCACTGTGCCTTCTGAATGGTTTCTGTTTGACAGGCTCTCTGCTGTTTCTCCCCCTTTGCACCTTTCTTTGTTTTTTAGTGTGAAAGCTGTGCTGGTCTCAGATAACAAGTGTTTTAACAATAAAGATATCACACACTGAGACACAGTGTCCCGGTAAGCGAGTACGCTGCCATTTTGGTGGATTGCCATCACTCTGATAGCAGATGGAGAAGGTGGCCTTGGCCAGAGCAGGGGAAAGGTAACCAAGTGAAAGGGCTTGTGGGTAATTCTCTGTGTGCAGAGCTAATAACCTTTATAAATTAAATGCTGCAATGTGCCTTGTGGCATTAAGTTAACACATGCTGTGCCAGTCAGCTCATGTATAAGTCACTAATGAACCACTATTGTATAAAACAGTAGAATTAAATGTTGCTCGAAAAAGATCAATCACAAGATATTATATTACATTAAAAGTCTCTCCCATTTGCTGCTGAGATCTACACTACAGAAGAGTAGTGTTGTGGCTAGTCATCATGTAAATAAATGAATAGGACGTGTTTTATTGTTGTGGAGCTGATAACTTGCTCAAAGTTACTGCACTATTTTAATGTGAACATGATGACCATGACCATATCTGTGTTATGCATCCCTGCTAGTGTTAACACACAGGGTAGAATAACCTTGATAGCATTTGGTCCTATCAGCTTTATGTATGTAATAAACTCTGCATCAGAAAAAATATAATCAATCTGCTTTTCTGTCATAACAAGATCTATCCAATCCATAAACTATACCAGCTTATCCTTTAGAGGGTCGCAGGTGGATAGAGCTGATGCCAGCTGACAGTGGGCGAGAGGCGGGGTGCACCCTAGACAGGTCACCAATCAATGATAGGGCTGACACTAGAGACCAATAGTCATTCATGCTCACAATCACATATACAGGCAACTTACCTAACCCACAGGAGCACTCAGAAAAACCTAACACAGGCACAGGGAGAACATGCAAGCTCCACACAGAAAGGCCCTAGCCTTTTTTAAATTTTTTTAGAGGTTTTTTAGAGGTTGCACATGCAGAGGGACGAGGCCCAGATAAAAGTGTGTATCACAAATAATTCAAAATCTATCAACTAAAATAGGAGAAGTTTTCTTGGCCATTTTGTATGCACTTTTAAGACGGCCCCTAACTTAAGTTGATAATTGTGCAAGCCTCAAGGTTCAATACTGGATCCAAATGTCCAAATGTGTTCATAATATGAAGCCTCTTGGTGACCTTACATTTTGGCATTGAAAATAAGATGTGACATTGAAACACTTATTGGAACAAAAAATGTATATTGAATTGACTATAAAACTTATATTGCATTTCAATGATCTTCAAATCGGCTGATTAAGGAAGAGACATTCTCTACTTAGTATGCAGATTATATAGGGTTAGGAAACCACGGTGAAAACAAAGTGTCAGAATAAAAACAATCCTGTTACTGAAAAGACAGACATGAAACACATCAAAATGCAATAAATGTAAAAAAAAAAAAGCTATTTTTCCGTGGAACTTTTGGGTCAATAAAACTTCTTGTGTTTCAATCCCAGGGCTTTTCAGTTCAGGTTTTGTTTTCAATGCCAAATTTTACTTTCAATTCCAAACTTTAAAGACATTATCCTGGCTCCATATTATGAACACATTATCTGTTTATTTCGGAAGAATGTATTTGCATTCTCTTGCTTTCCATTTTCCAGAGGATGAATCCCAATGACTGGTGATTTACGGAACTTTCCACAGGCCACAGCTTCCATTTGTATACAAGAAAATTCTATACCTCACAAGAAGCTTCTTAGGTGACATTTATGCAAAAGTGAAGAGCATATAACATGAATATAGACTTACCTAAATAGATTCCACGATCCCCACACACAAATATGAGGTCACTGAGGAGATCAGATCCACAGCGGAGTCTGGCTGCCTCTGAGGAGAGCGGCCAGCCTGTCAGACACAGGACCGTGTAGAACACGCACATCCGAACACATAACACCTGAGGAGGAGGTGAAAAACCCTTAATACACAACTTTAACACAAAGCCTGTAACATACAGAAGGGTTTTTCTGTCCAAGCAAAACACAATTTAATTCATGATTGATTGGTCATGAGGGCCCTGGTGGGGTTTAAGGCCAACTCAGAATGACTTTACTCTAGCAATTTCTTCACCCGCAGATGAACGTAGAGACAATTTGATTGATCCTGTAACTCAAAACTCCTACAGTCAATATTATATGTCAACTTACTGTACACTGGCCAAAGTTATATTAGAAGGCTTTTGTTCAGTAAGCAGGCATCCCAGTCAGGGACCTTGCTACACTTAGGTCATTATACACATTAAATGCATTAAAATACAATTTTCTGTCATATTAAAGCTGCAGTAGGTAACTTTTATGAAAAATTACTTTGTTAAATTTGATTAAATTTCATTATATCCTGACAGTAGTACATGAGACAGATAATCTGTGAAAAAAACAGGTTCCTCTGGCTCGTTCTAGGTCTCTTAATGGCATTTGCAAGAATGCACTGGGCCTGAATGAAAACAACCAATCAGAGCAGAGTAAGATAGTTGATTGTTCAGTCTCATTCCCAGATCATCAAATATCGATCCTGGGAATGAGACTTAACAATCATCGATCTTCAACCACCAACTCAAAGCATCTTTCCATCTTTCTTGGCTCTGATTGGTTGTTTTCGTTCTGGTCCAGTGAATTCTTGCAATACCAATAGGAGCACTAAGAGGAGCCAGAGGAACCTGATTTTTTCACAGATTATCTGTTTCATGTCAGGATATAGTGAAAGTTCCAGCAAATATGCCAAGACAGTAATTCCTATAAAAGTTACGTACTACAGCTTTAATTAATTAATTAAATTAATAATTACAAATAAACTGAATAGAAAACGTTTAAATAACAAATTACAAAGACAGCATAAAAAAGACACAACAAAAAACAACACTGTGAGATATGCTCAACTGATGGTGATATATTTTTAGAGTCAAAACTTTTTTTTGTTTTTTTAATTTTCTACATGAAAAATCATTCATTTTTCATTTGAGGTGTGAGGTTGCACTGGAGGACCTTGAGTATTTCCTTAGAACTGGAATGATGATCAATGCTAACTTTTTTGATTTTGAAGTTTAGAATGTGTGCACTATAAATATGTATTCTTTGATTTCTTATTTCATTATATTGTGTCAGAGAAGATATACAGTACAGTAGATGTGCAGTATATGTGCATAAAATTTAGATAGTGCTGCAACTAGCTCTAGCTAACTAGCTTTTTTAATCAGCCAATGCAATAAAAATTTTGTTGATGTGAAATATGACAAGTGAGCAACTCATCACGAGTTTGTCCACTGAGAAGGACAGTGAGATATGCTTGAAAGAAAAACAAGACCTTGACATTCAATGTTTTTTCTTTGGTCAATATATAAATTTGAAACTTGAAATTTGTTAATTTATTTTCTACATCATCTATTAATACAGCATTTACAACATATTACTTTATAAATCTCCCACTGTCATCAGCATATCAAGTAACCCAGGTGGACTTCGAACTCAGCTCACACCGGGTTATAAATTGCCCATCAGCAGTTCCCAAAGCTAAAGTCATGTCCTTAAACAGCTTGTTTTGTCAAATTTCTCATTTGTGCACATTACGTTTACCTGCTGTGCATTAAAAGTACTTAAAAAATGTTCTCCATGATACCTATTATTAGAACCAAATGACCAAATGAAACTGAGAACCTCACAATCACTTCCTTTCTAGGGATTTACAGAAAACGATTCAACCAATAAAACATAACATTACTAGAGAGGACACAGAGAAGAGCAGAAACCAACTGGTTCAGTTACTATGAACAAATCATTTCAACTCTACGATGAAAAGTACTTCCCTGCACAACTCAATGGAGTGACAACAAGTCTTACCTTCAGTGTCTGTGCTCTGGCAGAGGGGCAGCATAAGGAGTGCATCCTGTCTGTGTGGACCGACTTCACGAGACCTGCAGTCTTATAGCCGAGCAGCAGGAAGGGAGGTTTCTTCCCTCCACCCCTCGCACTGCTTCCCACTCAAATCTCATCCGGAACTCATATCAGGCGATTTAACATACTGTCACTGGGACAAATTTGTACCTACCGTGTGTAGGATATTTATCACAGTCACAAACATGATATCTATATTTGAAGGCTGGAAGCAACTTTACACCAGTTTATATGGTCCACTTAAAAACACCTAAAGTCCTGAAATTAATGCTCCCTTTGTGACAGTTTTTCTTGGTGGTGTGGATTCAGTGTGGATTTTTAATATTTAAGATTAAAGATTATTACTAAAGATTATTTAAGAAGAAATAATTGACAGAAATGGGGTGGACAAAATAACAGAAACACCTCTAAGGTGAAGACCCACTGAACAATGCTGTGAATAGTGTACAGTGGAAACAACCAAAAACAGAAAACTCAACCACATACTTAAAGCTCCCCTCCAGACTTAATTAAGACATATATTCAAATGATCAATAATGTGTGCCTGATTTCCACATTAAAATCCTTAAAAATCAATCTCTTCCTTCTACCCCAGTAAAAATTCCAGAATCTATGAATATGCAAATGTTGTTAATTTCAGGGCTTGATTTATTGTTTGGCTGCAAACAACAAAGATGATATAAAAATGTATAGAAACATTGTTTGCATTTTATATAGTATAGTATAGTATGATATAGTACTGGGAATTCGAGGAGTCAGTTTGTACTGTATGGTCATTTCTTGTGTGACAGCAGATGCTGTCGGCTGCTGATGCTTTCAGATGTTGTGTTATTGGTCCAGGGTGAGTGCTGGCTGTTAGCCGGCCAGCTTGTTGTTGTGTTTGCAGCTGTTCTGCTGCAGGTATTCAAAGCTGCTGATTTGGCAGCAGGAGAAGTAGAGCAGCCTTGACAGAGAGATAGGACACAGCCTCAGTGAACGCCTGTAGTCAGAGGCAGGTGGACCTGTTGACAGTCTAGTAAAGATTTCTGCAAATATGACAAAAAGTTATTTTTATAAAAGTTACTTACTGTAGCTTTAATGGAAATGAGCGAATGCTTTATGAGCAACAAAACATAACTACATATTGTATGTGTGGTTTTGTGCATCACTTTTTAGTTCCCCCTCTAAACCATTTTTTCTTTTTTTTTTTTTAATTCATTGCTGTTGTGTGCTTTCTGTATTTGGTTATGTTTTCTTCATTTGAATCTTCAGTTCTTCAAAAAAATTGCCTCAAAGATAATGTGGTGCATCTGGAAGTTAAATATCTATCAGCTGTGGGTGAATGTGAGGAGGAGGTCATTGTGCCTCTGTGATTCCTTGTTCCAAGGTTACGGGTACAAACTAAAAAGAGTGGAGGGAGTTAGAACAAAGTCACATATTGTAGAATGTTTATTATGCTTATTTGTTTGCTAATGAGCAAGTAGCACACTGGTGTTGATTTGGAAAATATTGAGTTTTAGTTGTCATGTGATTGTATATGAAGTCAAACCAAAGATGCTTCTAGAATTGCGCTGACTCATTGGCGAATATTACAAACCTCGTTTCAGGCCTCTGGATAAATTTGTGGAGCAACAGTGTATTTACTTTGTAATCATACTTTTCCTTCCCTTATTCAGGCTAATTGAAATAGATCCTGCAGAAGAAATGTGATACTGTTGCATGCTCCAGATCAGCTACCAAATGGACTAGTTTGTCTGTTTGCAGTGTTGGGCAGTAACTCATTACTAGTAATAATACAACAGTAATAACATTACTTTCCCCGGTAAATAGTAGTGTAAGTACTGGCTAATACATTTCAGTAAGATTACAGTTCCCCCCACAAAAAAATTTGTAACATTACTTTTGTTATCACCTACTGATTTGAAATCCAACAATCCAATCACATCCTTGGATTTATTTTTGTAACTGTGAAGGAAACTAGCTTGGAAGATGGAAACATTCAGCAGCTGGAAATATTCTATTACTCTGATTTTAACAAACAGAACTGGATTTTAATCGTTGTAAGTCTGAATTTTGGGTAGAAAGGACACAATAACCAATTTCACACAATGTGTGAGCACGTTGATTAGCTGTCAACTATTGAATTAATTAAGTCATTTTTTAAGAAATGGGTTGTATAGAAAAAAAGATATTTTCTGGACCAAACAACTTATTTGTTAATTGATAAAATGATGGACAGATAAATCAATAATTAAAAAATTGTTAGTTGCAGGCCTACATGTGAGCAGCAGGTGGGTGCAGAACTGCTCCTTTAAATGAGAACAAAGTCACAACGCTGTACACTCACTCATTTCTTTATTGCTGACAGAGATATCTGCAGTAACACAAATATAGCCTATGAAATATCATTTGTAAAAGTCAATAACAAACACTTTGCCAAAAGTGAATGTGTCTGTGTTGAACATGAAAAATGAGATTTGGCTCTTTGATAAATAGTCTCTAAGGTAGAAGATGCATGTGCATAAATACATAAAGGAGAGAAGTCGACCACAAATGGCGTCCCACAACAAAGCAGAATAAATATGTTACACTAATCCTTCTAAAACTAAAACGTTCCCAATAGGTTGACAATTTCTCAACATAGTCAGATAATAGTAAAGCCCCGAAAATAATCATTTGATGTGCCCAGCTTATAAAGGAAAAGATCACACACAGTCAAAGCCTGACTCACGAGAGAGCTGTGTGAAGTTTGATAAATTTGAGCCAGCGTTTGAACATGAAAACAATCTGTTGAGACCTCTGTGGCCTGCTGCAGGTTACATTGGCCGCTAATAGCACGCTACTAATGCAGCCGAGTCTCCGACGCCAGGTTCTGTCAAGTGTGACGTGTGAAATAAAGCCAGAGGATGATATCCATGTTCTGCAGCAGTCAGGGTGCAACTATTTTTCTATTTTGCTATCCTTAGAGCCTCAACAGCCGTGAGGCCATGTGTAAAGTGTCCTGTTGGCGGCCCTAGCGCCTTAGTGTCCATTAGTCTCAGTCTGTCATTTCTGCACTGACAGAGGTCCCTCAGCAGTTTGAGGATGGGACCCTAATTTTAAATGGGAGTTTATTTCATGGGGAACAGAAGCCTCGTCACTGCCGTCCACTGTGACTCAGCTGTCATTATGACGAGGGCAGGTTGCTGAGAGCTGCTTCATTCTGTCTGAGTTTGGCCTTCATTCGAGCGATCATCTCCTCCTGCGCCAGCTCCTCAAAGTCGTGCTGCAGTGAAGTGGAAGCTGCACCCTGGGACTCTCTCCTGGTCCAGCTCTGGCCACTACTTTGCTCTACAATGCTGTCAGGTTCCCCGCAATCAGCTTGTAGATTGCTGTCTATGTTTTGATTGGTGCTCTCTTCGTCGCCCAGGTCCTGTATCTCACCGCCGTCGTCGGCCACCTTCCCCTGCTCCGCCTCGGGCTGAAACCAAGCTGACTCCGGGACTGCTGCTTCCGCTGCAGTGTTGGATGAGGATACGTCCCTTCCCTTGTGCGTAACATGCTTTCTGTTTTCACTCTGTGTTACTTTAGGGGTGGTGTGTTTCTTCTTGGGATTTAGCAGCTCCTAAAGGACAAACAAAGTAGCATTACATAAGGCTGATGTTCATTTGTTGGGATTCATAGTAATGGTACATGATCCACACTGGCATATGGTAGACTAGGGGTTCTCAAACTGCAGGGCATGGTGCTACAGTTGAATGTCAACTGATAATTTATCCGCTGTAATTTAATTATCCTGATCATTTATAATAATATAAATATCCCATTAGCGGAAGATCATTTATCTGTATTGTGCATCCCTATACAATTCCATTAGTCCATGCACTACATTACACAGTCTCTCCAGGAAGTTGCGATCCCAACAATTAAATAATAAATAAATTCAGCCAATCACTGTGAATCCTGCATGGCCTTGCAATTCTGTCCAATCACAACAAGAATTAGACCAATCACTGTAGTTTTTTAGAAAACCTGTTGTAAAAGCAGGAATTTTAAGCCCCAACAATCCCAAAAATAGCGTGCGAAACCCTGGAGGGGCTGATTACAATCTAATATACAGGCCTATCTTAGCCAGTAACGTCTTTTATTGTTATTGTTACACTCACCTGATCTGTGGTGGAGGCTGTTTTTCTAAGAACCACCTTTGGCTGTTTTGGGGAGGTTTGGGGCAAAGGGATACCCAGTCTCTTCCTTTGTAACAGTTTGTTTGCGGGTTGAAGAGAAGCCTGGGGGGACTGGTGCTGCAGGAGGATACACAGGTCACACATAAATGTTACTGCACACAAAATCTTTCTGAAAAAGGAACAGTAAAACATCTGAGCTGTATATCTGGTTGTTAGACAAAAGGATTTTAACAAACATACTGACGATTTAGCTATTATTAGAGCCATTATTTGTCCCGGGTGGGCCCAGACCTAAAAATCCTCCCACAACAGCAGAACTGACTGATTCTGTGAAGACAGAAATGGAGTGCAACGAGTGGACGATACATGGAGCAAAACCTTCATTACTATCAGTGGTAACACCTGTGATCACCCTATTATTTCAAATTATTATATTAAGGTCTATTATGTCTAATATCAGGCAAAATCAAAAGGGTTGTGCTCAGTAAATTGTATGGCAATTGCCTAATACATGTCATTTTTATAAAAATAACTGTCAGTTTTTTTTTACTTTCACTATTTCCTGACAGTAGAACATGAGA